TAAGATCATTAGTGACTCAGGTATTGTTGCTCAGGTCCATTTCCCTGATCACATTGTCCTAATTGCTTGGCAAACTAATATCATGCATCGCAATCGTCCTATGGGCCCATCTCCACAGCCGACCACTTCAGTGGTTCCTTCTGCCTTATTAGAGGTCTCACTGGGCCAGTCTGAGTGCCAAGATAGTCCTCCTGGCGGCAATCTGCTTGTCCCTGAAGTGGTGGCTCTCACCAGCCGTAAGGAAGGGCTGTTATTTTCAGGAACCCATCTGGATTACCATCACGACGGATGTGAGCATTTTTGGCTGGGGCACCCACCTGCGGTTGTCTGTCGCTCAAGGTCGCTGGTCCACGCAGGAATTGCAACACGACATAAATTGGTTGGAGCTACGGCAGTCCACCTTGCCCTGCATCATTTCCAGACCTCTGTGATGGGACGTCACATGCTGATCCTTACGGACAATACAACAACGAAAGCACACATGAACAGGGAAGGCGGAACTCGTTCCAGACTCCTTATGGACGAGGCGACGAGGATGCTGAATTGGGCGGAGAAGCATGTTCTATCACTGACGGCAGAACACATATCCACCCCGGACAACATCCAGGCGGATTGGCTCAGTTGGATCCAAATAGATCAGGCGGAGTGGCGCCTCCATCCGTCGCTGTTCCAGGACTTGTCAAGGAGATTCGGTCTCCCAGCTGTCGACCTCTTTGCTCACCCGCTGAATGGACAACTGCCTCGCTTCTTCTCCCAGTTTCCCTGTCCCGGAGCAGAGGGTTGTGATGCACTTCAAAGCATGTGGCCCCCAGGGCTCCTCTACGCTTTTCCCCCTCTGCTGCTCATCCCGCGAGTGATTCGCAAGCTGTTGGTGGAGAAGGCGGATCTGATCTTGGTCGCTCCCAATTGGCCGCGTCGACCTTGGTATGCGGATCTCTTGAACCTGTCGGTGGAGCGCCCCTGGCACATCCCCAACGACAAGATATCTCTCAGTTAGGGGGTCATACTGCACCCAGAGCCGCAATGGTTGCAGTTGACCGTCTGGCGTTTGAGAGGATCCGTCTAAGCAAAGACAACATCCCAGCATGTGTGATTCACACTATGCAATCCGCCAGACGCCCTTCTACAAATCGTATCTATGACGTCACCTGGCGATTGTTCTGTTCCTGGTGCTCCCGGACTCATCAAGACCCTACGACAGCGTCTGCTTCTGATGTTCTCATTTTTGCAGGACGGTTTAGACAGGGGACTTGCCCCTAACACTCTGTGGCGACAAGTGGCAGCCTTGAACACAGTCTTGTCTGTTGCCAACAATCGACCTTTGACTCAACAACCCCGAATATGGACCTTCTTGAGAGGGGCATCCAATCTCTGGCCAGCTACAATCCACTGATATCGAATGTGGGCCCTTTCATTGGTTCTTACCGCTCTGATGTCACCTCTGTTCTGCCCGAATCTAGCTGTGTGACTGGAATTGGCCAAATGTTGATTTCCTTGATGGTATTTCCTTCATTGAGTTTGGACTTTCAGATTTATTTCTTACAGATTATTATTTTGAAATTAAAAAAATTGTATAGCTAATTTACAAACTGATTCAATGTATTTATGTCTGCTGTTGATTGTGTTTCTATAATTTGCCCTGACTACAGGATTCTTTATGGATTGGGATTAATAAAAATCTGATGTCTGCAGACTATTGCAACTGACACCTACTGATTATGTGACAAACTATTATTGGATGTTGGTGATCCATTGACATTACCACCAGTTATTGAGTTTGCTTCTCTTGGATTTATTTTTGTGTCTTCAGTTTAATATATTCTTGGAATCTGTACAAGTCTGTTTCATTCATTTTTACTTTTTCTCTGAAGTTACATTTTTTATATGATATCAAGATGAAAATATGGCTGCCCAAAATAAGTGGTAGATTTATTTCATCTCAAGTTATTACTTTGATGGAAGGAATTTTTTTGTAACAAGAAACAATTCAACATTTTAGGGGGTCTTAATATCACAAAGTTTGAGAATCTTTAGTTTAGTTCTTTATGTGAACTTGCAGTTGTAGTTTTTATATGCAAACAATGGCTTATTATAATGTCTGATTCTTTGGAATCATATCTGGAAGGATGAAGGAAATATTTGCCATTGCATAAATACCTAAAGTAGTCTAAATTGTTGCATTAGGTTATAAGGCTGCAAATTAAGCAAAACAGAAGAGAAAAAACTTATCAGACACTTGGTGGTGCTGGTGGGAAATGTAAGTTCCTGCCTTAAGGAATCTTATTACAATTCATTTATGTTAGTGTACTGAACTGTTAGCATTTCTAATAGTAAATCTACCACTTCAAAAGTGAGAGGGTTTTTTTAATTGTTAAACTCTGTTAAAATTGTTAAATTGTTAAGCCAAGAAATTATATTAGAGGTATAGAGAGACCAGTAGCTGAAAGTAAAAACTGAGAGTTTGTAGTTTGATTTATTGAAATAATTAGGATCTGCAAAATGTATAACAATGGCATTGTGATACTATAGTAGGCTGGTTAGCAGGCATAGCATTTAAAATTGTGTGTGGCACATCTGGAATTGTGTTTTTTTTAAACCGGCATTGTACAGTTGAAGGAACATCTAAGATTTATGTAGTTAAGACAAATAGCATTTGGTTTTCATGGGATGTTCCAGTATTTAGGATATTTGTGCAGACAAATATGCTAGGTGGAAAACGATTGAATTTACTTCAATTCAGTGCCTTTCCCGCACTTCCCAACATAGGGAAAAAATTAGTCCAAAACATCTGGAAAGTTTTTAGGCTGGAAAAGGCCTACAGAGAGCTGCATAAGACCTGTTACTGCTTTGCATTTATTGAGTTCTCTTCTATTGGAATTTTCTAGATCTCAAAGAAAATTCTCCATCTGTAAAACAAACAAAAAGTAATGTACCTTATTGGTTGTATTTGCATATGTTAAACCCTGCTGAACACAATTGGCTAATGTCTACATAGCAATTATACATTGTTTTTAGTGCATTTGGCCTACCTCAGTATAATTCAATACTTCAGCATAGTTAGAAAGAGATGTTCCTCTTTTTATGCACTATAATTGAAAATCCCAGAGTTCTATTATTAAAATGAATGGGGAAAAGTTAGTGATTGTGTCTGTGAGATGTTTTCAGAGAAAGTATACAGTGAATATTTAATACATTGCCAAATAGCAACATGCTTAATTTGGAAGATTGCAATATAATAAAAACCCCATTTTAACTACTTGATAATTAATAGTTTGTACTTCCTATAAAGAACTTTCAATAATCAGTTTGATCCTATTTTTTTTATTGTTTGGTTTCTTTTCTTCCCTGCAAAAGATAAGATTAATAGATTCGGAAAAGATTCTACCCTTCTATTATGCCTCATTACTGAGTAATATGCCCCATTACTGAGAAAGACTGGTGGTAGGTGTTTTGGCAGAGTTTTAAAGAATTACGATATATTATGAATATCAAAGACATAATTTTGTTCCTAAAGACATGCTTTAGAGTAAGATATTTTAATAGTTTTCATGGCTCTTAATTCCACAGATTTTTCGGAGTATGCAGCTGATTGCTGTTCCTCTACTGATGGATCATTTTCTATTAGCCGTCGGGCCGTTCATTTTTCCGTCTGCGCTGGGTGCACGCGCCTTTTTAACTTGCTTTGGTAGCTGTCTGGCTCGCGCGCAAGGCAGGTTTTTAGCTGCAAAGCTGTAGTTTAACCCCGCAGTGCGCACGGGAAACCGACGGTGGCGCTAGCGCCTCCGTTTTTGTGTTTCGTTCCCCCCCCCCCCCCCTTTTCTTTTTGCTTTCCCTTCCCCCTGCCTTGCCTGCCCGGTGCATTCTCCGATTAAAGGGAGGAGGAGGAGGAGGGCAGAGCAGAGAAGGAGCTCAGCCGCCATTTTTCCCCCGAACATTATCTAGCAGCAGAAAAACAGCAGTAGCGCCACCTCCGCGGTCGCTGCGGCTGCCTTCTGTTGTACGCGGGTGGAGGGTCGGGTACGAAGGCAAAAAGGGGGGGGGGGCGAAGGCGGAGAGGAGGAAACGCCGCAGAGACTGTTGCACATTGTGCCCCACTTTGAAGAAGAGCGGGAGACCCTCCTTTGCAGTAGGAGGAGGAGGAGGCACCGCAACAGCCGCCGCCGCCGGGGGGAGAAAGCCAGGAGCACCTTTTTTTCTCCCCCCCCCCCAATCGCTGCCGCCGCCTCCCTCCTCTTGGGTGCGTGGGGTGGGGGCGGTTGCAAAAGAGAAGGCAACCTTCCCGCCCCCCCTCCCCTAGTCTCTTCCTTCCCCAGCCCTTTTCCTGCCCGCCCGCCCTCCTTGCCCGCAGAAGAGCAGGGAGCAGGCGGGCAGGGAAAGGGGGAGTTGGGGCTGGAAGGAAGGGGGAGAAAGGGGAGCGACCAAGAGAGAACAGCAACGGCGAGAAGACGATTTGTGGTGGCGGGAGCGAAGGAAGAAGACTGTGCTACTCGCGTTCGCCTTGTTTGCAAACTGCGCCCTTTTTTATTATTACTACATACATATATATATTTTTTGCGTCGGGCCGGATCCGCCCGGACTCTGCTCTCAGCTCCGTCACGTGGTAGGTGTCGCCGCCTGCTTGCTTTGCTTTTGCCTGCTTTACTCGATTGCTTGCTTGGCTTTCCCGTTGCCCTTGCTCGGCCCTTCTGTCGCTGTCTTTGTTAGCGCTACTGGCTGCCTGTACCCCGCACGAGCCCGCAGCGGCCAGAAAACAACTTCTATGACCCTTATTTCTTCCCCTCCCCCCTGACTTCGATTCGCGACTCGTTTGCCTTTTAATTTCTGGTTCTAAGGTGTGCAATTTTTTTTGCGGAGAGATTTTTCTTTTTTTAAAAGCCGTAATCGTAATGAAACTTCCCTATCCGGTTCTTTATTTTCCATTCGAAGTATATGTTACTGCCACGTTCTTAATTCTTCATGATATGTTTTCCCCCTTTTCCTTGCTACTTTCCCGTTCTTACCTGTTATGTGTTTGCCACACTCAGGCGTTTGCGCTGTCCTGCAACTACAATGCGATGTCTTCTCTACCTCATTACCTTTGGAAAGCCATAAAGCTGTGCAGCTTGGAGTAATCGCGCTTTTATAGGGTTACAAAAGAGCTTTTAGTTTCTCTTAACAGTTAAGTGTGGGACGGGGGTGGGGGAGGGAGGGATAAACTCTGCAGCCGGTCGTCTATGCTAGGGGGTGGGGAAGAGAGGTAACTGGAAAAGATTGACTTTGTTTAATGTTTAGAATAGAGGCGACCACTCCCGCTGTCCATTTTACATTAGCACTTGTAAAGTACTTCCCTCATTCAACGCAACACGATAACGTCTTCTGTAACGGGCCCGTCCTTCGGTTGCTGCTGTTGTTACTGTTATTGTTAAAGTGGCGTTAAAAAACTAGCCATGTATGTGCGCGCTTATGCGAAGTATTGCGGTTCCAATGCAAATTGGGGGAGGGGAAGAAGAAAAGCTGGTTTCTTATGGCGCCACTTTAACTTGAAGGCTTTGCTCTTCTGTTAACACAGAAAGCTTCCCAACTGGAAGATGTTTATTTTCTTAGTATTAATCCCTTGCTCTGCTTGTCTCCTCCCCCTTTCATAAACATGCTGCTTTCCAATTTACTTCTCGCTAACATTCGAACTCCGGCGTTCCCAAAGTTCCATCACATCCGTCCAAACCTATCCCCAATTTCCATTCTCAAACATCTTGTGTGTGCGCGCCCCCCCCCGTGAGCGCGCCTGTATTGGAGATTTTGTCGTCACGTGGCTGGTTGGCAGTCATTTTTGTGTGCGCCTTGTGGAGACTGCATGCTGTATCCTTCTAGCTATAGCTTTTACAATCAACAATGAATTTGCTTCTTTTTCCATCTCTTCTCTCATGGTAATTTCTAAAGTAACTTCTTTGTTATTATGGGGCTTATTTATATATTCTAACCAGCCAAACTTTTTATATAATTTTGGGGAAGCCTTACCTAAATTATACTTGTTTTGCTTAATGTCTATTGTGTGAGATTTCCTTTTTTATTGTAATAGTATCTGAAATTGCTGTTTGGGGTATAGACTTGGATCAATGTAATAAGTAGTATAGAAGGTGTGCTAGGAAGTTGGTTCTTAATGACATTTTACTATCAAGTATACTTACTTATTTGTACTTATGAACATGCTTTTTTTCCTCCTTAATTAGACTTATAGTTGTCTTGCTTACTATAGTGAATTTCCCTTAGTTAAACATGTTATGCTGTTTGTATTTACCACCGATAATTTAAAATTAATGGCACTGCTTTTGTTCTTAAACTAGCAAATGTAATTCTCAGTTTTTTTCTTTGAAATTGAAAATTCTGCCTCACTATTTGACCTTTTAGATCAGTTCAGAAAAGAGATACAATTGTTAAAATAAAATGAACCATAGTTTGGAAGGGAAATTGGCATTTTCAATCCTTTGATTTAAAACCTGTTCAGTGTTGCATAATTATTTGCTGCCACTTTAAAATAATATGAGAACATTAACTTGGTGTTTGCATTCTAAGCACTAGAAAATAGTTTCTTTCTCCCTTGCAATTGCATGATGGCTCATACGGTATTTACTCTATCTATGATGCATAATTCTAAAAATAAAAAAGGTAAAAAGCTTTTCTGCAAGAATTAAATGTTGTAAAAAATACTTCTGGTTGTCACAAACTCTAGAAGCTGTTTGAAACTACTTTTTTGAATTGTTCAAGCTATAAATGGAAAACAATCTTTAGAACATTAGTGTTACTGCACTAGCAGATTCAACATGAAGGCTTCACTTCTAATCAAGTCTTTAAACTTTATAGTAAATTATGTTTAATTTGAATAAAATAGTTCATTGGGTTCATATATTAACTGAATGTAACTTCTAAATAAAGTTACATAGCATTCTGCTGTATAACTGCCTACTGTTGGTGAATGATGATTCTTATTAGATATAACTTAAACCTGTGTGTTTGATTCAGTTATAAAACAACTAACTCACATTGAAGTTAGTTCCTTAACACAGCGAAACATTATGCATATGAATGGTTACACAATTGGGTAATTTGTGAATAAGATCCCATTTTCTCAAATGTGTTCTTCACAAAAATTACATATTTCTTTAAAGTTATGACAGTGCTAGAATTTCTGAATGCCATATCTCCTGAGATTTAAAGCTTAATGCCCAATATTTAATATTTGATTTTTTAAAAATAAATTTAATACTGTCTTTCAAGGAATCACTCTTTATTAACATCTAAAATATAAAATTATCCTTATTTGCAGAACCATTTTACTGTCATGGTTAAGGTGCTGCTGGACTATGAACAGGAAACAGGTTACAGAAGCTTAGTGAGTGGCTTTGGACTAGTCATTCTCTAATCATGTATCTCATAGTTGTGGAGAATATAGAAAGGAGAGCTATATACGCTACTTGTATGTGATTGTGTCAACACAATAAGGAAAACAAACTCCAGAGAAATAATTTGTAACTTCTTTCTGACTTAGTGAAGATAAAGCTAAGCTGTAAAATGGCTGTGGCAAATGTGCATGGTGGTTCACCAATAGCTGTCGGAAATGAACTGTCTAGGTTTGGTTTGTCTAAGTCAGGGGTGTCAAACTTGTAGGGTCCGGATACGTCACATGCTGGCTCCGCCCCCGCCCGGTTCAGTAAAGGGGGGGGAAGTCCAAATAACGCCACTGTGACAGCATGAGTTTGACAGCCCCTGGTCTAAGTGTTATGAGTACAGTCTACCCATTACTTGCAAGTGGATATAAATATGCTTTTTCATGAGAAGCAGGTGCAATCTCTTGTACCCTTTTCAGTAGAGTAGAAAGACTGATCAGCATTTTGTTCAGGCTGGTTTTCTAAACAGTCATTCCCATAATTTCCAACTTAGTTGTGGAATGTTCAGCGTTCTTTTTCATTTGGTCTTTTCCCTTTTTGAATGCTTTGGGCCGCAGTTCTCATCACATGGATAAGGAGACTATCCCATTCATTGATACTAGATAGACAAACCAGATGTATTACGTATTTGAAGTTTTTTTGTTTTTGCTTCTTCTGAATATAGCTATAGCTATCAAATCATTTTGATGATGTAAAGTAGAAATAAGTTTTAAAAGCTATATATCACAGCATATTTAGGTTTTAGCCATGGTGGCTGAGAACTGTAGCCCAACACATTTGACTGGGGACCTGCTATTTCAGATAGGGAAGCTGGTTATTTCATTTAGATATGTTTTGTTAGATATTTTTGCTCATACTTACAGTGGAAATGTTAAGGCATAGTTTACTTAATACTGTGCATTTCTTTACTATTGGGTATAAAGATATTTCATGTACTTACAAATTAAGGAAAGAGAGCTCTAATTAATTTTTAAGGTTACAGGTTAAAAAACAAGTTATAGAAAAGTTACAAAAGAAAATTCTAGGGGATAAATATATTGACAGAAAGATGGAAATCATATCTGATTTATACTCCGAATGAGCCTTTGTTGAATCAGGATTTGAAAACATTGAAGATACTGATCTAACAATTTATATTGTATTAACAAAGTCAAAGTGCAGGAGAATAAAATAGCTGCAAAATTATACAGAAATATTCATGAAATTCTATTATTTCTGATGTTCAACTCTCTTGACTATTGAAGTTGTGTTTGTAAACAGTTTACCTACTAGTTGAACTTCAATAGACGAAGTAACTTTTTAGCAGCTAATTGCTGTATTGAAAATAAATGATCTTTATGGGCTACAGTGATAGAGCTTGTATCACTAGAAATATCCCTTGTAGAGGTGAAACTGAAATTAGGGGCCCTATGAAATTTCTTGTGGACTTGACATTTTAAAAGTAAAATAGCTGTGTTAAGATTTTTCAAGGCCTAATGGATATTCCTGTTGTTTATTTTCACAATTATTAAATATTAACCTCTTGCCATTGATATTCAATGGTGTCATTTGGAGGAGATAAGTTTTTAAGGGCTGGAATTTTGCAGATTGCTGCATGGGAAATGATAGAATTTGTTTAAAGGTATGTTTGAGAAAAAAAAACAACTTTTAAACACCACCTGGGATATTGATTTCTCTGATAACGTATCTATTAAAATGGATCTTATTTGAAATAAATGAAATCATTTTGAGGTTTTGCCTGTCTATCAGCATTAATCATGTCTGTCCAAATGAAAGCAACTGAATTCAAATCTCATATAGCAGTAGGGAAGAATGCAATAATTTACTATGTTGGGGGAGTTGGGAGGAAAGACAAAGATCAAGAAGGTATAGTAACCTTGAGCATAGTTTTGTAATTATTGGAATCCTATAAGTTTAGGATTGTTGGCCTTATACCCAAATAGCTTTCATACTTATCAGCTGCTATAGCTAATACAAAGTACTCTTTTGTGACTGAAATACTAAGATTCTGCATTCCCAGAACAATGGATCTGAATAACAAGAGAGTTTATGTATGAATGACTAGTTCTGGATCAGGCTTTTAGCTTCTGTTGTACAACTTGGTCTTTTGCTACTGGAATAACATTACAGTTAGACCAGCAACTTATCTGCGAAAATTTACTAAATTTTGTTAAATTACATGTATTAATAGTTTTTGGCTCCTTAATATAGAATGTGCCATAAAAAAAATCAGTGAAAATTTGGCAGTAAATCAGAAAAAAAATTAAATACCACTTTTAATTTTTTTAAAAATAAGCAAGAGATAATAAAAGTAATAAATTATAAAATTGTGACCTGTATTTATTTTCATAATTGCCCTATTTTTTCTTGTGACTCCCAGTATATTATTTTACATGGGATAGGCCAGGGGTGTCAAACTCATATCGTCACAGCATGATGCAGGGAATTTGACAGCTCTAGGATAGGCTGATACAGCTATCTTAAAATTGCTATTAACTGGCTACTTCTCAAAGTAGTTAAATCAGGAAGATTATCATTACAGTTGGCAGTTAAGCATGATTCCATTCCTGAATTAATTGCCTAACAACACTACAGTTTATGAGACTAATTATTTGCATTACTGTATTAGGTTTAATTTTGTAAACAAAATACCTTAAAATACCTTGATAGTATTAATGCTTGGTGTATATGTGTTCAGATACAAAATTTTAAAAAGAAAAATTT